GCAAAGTGCAGGTGGCGGAGCTGACAGCGCTGGCTGACTTCAGCCACCAGCTGTGAGGCCCAGCAGCAGCAGAGGCTGCTGCTGCTGCAGCAAGAGCAGCAGCAGCAGCAACAGCAGTGGCAGTGGCTGCTGTTGCTGCTGCAGCAGCAGGGGCAGGAGCTTTCTGCTGAGAGGGAACGCGTTATTTATTTTTTAATTCTTTTGGCATTTGCTTCCGTCGTGGAGTCGACTTAGGCCTCAGGGTTTAGGGTTTAGGGTTTAGGGTTTAGGGTTTAGGGTTTAGGGTTTAGGGTTGGTGCGGGCAGAGCTGTCCGTACAACCCGCGCCAGCAGCTCTTTGGCTAGCTGCAGCTCATGGCTAGCTGGATAGCTCTGCTGTGGCTGTGGCTAGCTAGCTAGCTAGCCAGCTAGCTATCTTCCCGTCTGGCTAGTTGGCTAGCTAGCCAACTAGCTAGCTATCTGGCCAGTTAACTAGCTAGCTGTCTAGCTAGTTGGCTAGCTAGCTATCTAGCTAGTTAACTAGCTAGCTAACTAGCCAGCAATCTAGCTAGTTAGCTAGCTAGCTAACTAGCAAGACAGCTAGTTAGTTAGCTAGCTAACTAGCTAGATAGCTAGCTAGCAAGCGAAGCAGCTAGCTGCACCTGTGGCTAGCTAGCTACATTCCTACATCGCTCGGCTAGCTAGCTAGCTAGCCAGGGAGCTACACAGGTGGCTAGCTAGCTGGCAGTCTAGACATCAATGTTTTCTTGGTAGCGAGTCCAGGTAAATCCAATGCAGGGCCCCAGCTAGCTACAGTGGCTAGCTAGCTGCTAGCTAGCTACCAGCTAGCTGATAGCTACCTACCAGCTGGCTGCTAGCTAGCTACCAGCTGGCTGCTAGCTAGCTGCTAGCTAGCTATTAGCTAGCAGCTAGCTAGCTGCTAGCAGGCTGCTGGCTTGCTGCTAGCTAGCAGCCAGCTAGCTGCTGGCTAGCCGCTGGCTAGCTGCTGGCTAGCTGCAAGCTAGTTATTGGGCCCTGAGCTTTAGCTAGCTGGCCCTAGCTAGCTGGCTAGCTGGGCGACTCGGCAGCTAGCTAGCTGCGGCGGGTTGGCTAGCTCTTTCGCTAGCCAGCGACGGCTAGCCAGCTAGCTGCCGCAGCCCGCAGGGCAGCCCTAGGCATTCCACTCAGTAACCTAGCTGGCTAGCTAGCCAGTTAATTAGTTAACTGGAGAGCTAGCTAGCTAGCCAATCAGTTTGTTGACTTATAGCTAGCCAGCTAGCTAGCTAATTGGTTAGTTGGCCAGCTAGCTAGCTAGCCAGCTAGCTAGCTAATCATTTAGTTGGCTAGCTAGCTAACTAGCTAGCTAGCTAGCTAATTAGTTAGTTGGCTAGCTGGCTAGCTGATTATCTCTAGCAAGCCAACTATCTGGCTCGCTAGCCAAAGCTAGCTAGCACTAGCTAGCTGGCTAGCTAGCTAGCTAGCTAGCTGTAGCGGCTAGCTGCGCAGAGTAGCAGCTAGCTAGAGGCTAGCGCTGCTGCAGCTGTTTTGTAGCCCTTAGTTGGGCTGCAGATTTGTTCTCGCAGCTAGCTGCAGAGTGAGCGAATGGTGTGCTGCTGCTGCTGCTGGCTTTGCTGCTGTTGCTGCTGGCTTTGTTGCTGTTGCTGCTGGCTTTGCTGCTGCTGATTGTGCTGCTGTTGCAGTTGCTTCTGGCGCTGCTGCAGGTGCTTTCTGTTGCTGCTGGTGTTGCTGCGAGCTGTGCTGCTGCTGTCAGCCTTTTGTTGCTGCTGTTGGCTTTGCTGTTGCTGCTGCTCCTGCTGCTGCTGCTGCTGCTGCTGCTGCTACTGCCTTGTATAGGAGTCGGCCCCCTCTGGGTGCTGCACAGGGTTGAGGGTGTCTCCCTGCTGCGGCCCTGCTGCTGCTGCTGCTGCTGCTGCTGCTGCGAGGGTGCCTGCGCTGGAGGCTGTCTGGGCTGCGTCTGCGTCTGCTGCTGCTGCTGCTGCTGCTGCTGCCTTTGCTGCTGAGCGCTGCTGCAGCAGCTGGCAAGCCAGCACTGCTGTCACCCCCCCCACAGCCACCAAGAGGGCCCCCCCAACCCCCACAAGCAGCCAAACCCAATTTGCTGCTATTTGTCTTTTCCCAGGGGGGCCCCCCTCATCTTTAGTACCCTCTTGGGGGCCCCCCGCAGGCCCGGGGGGCCCCCCTGCTGCTCCCAGGGGCCCCCCGTCAAAAGCTTTGAAAAACTCAACCAGCACGTCCCCCTGCTGCACCTGCTGCTGCACCTGCTGCTGCTGCTGCTGCACCTGCTGCTGCTGCTGCTGCTGCACCTGCTGCTGCTGCTGCTGCTGCTGCTGCTGCTGCTGCTGCTGCTGGCGGGTGATGGCGGGGGGGTGGGCGAGGTCGAGCAGCAGCGCCTTGTGAATTGGCGCTCGAGGGTTTAGAAGAGATCTTCGCCAAGTGGCGGCCCCAATAACGGGGTCTTCGAACTCGAGGGAATTTACTCTGCACCAAACCCTAAACCCTAA